AAAAAGTTAATGAATGGACTTCACTGGGTGGAGGGAGCAATGGAAAGAAGATGGAGAAAAGGACAGATAACTGATGGAAAGAAATCTAGGAGGCAGGGAAGGGGAGGAGCCAGAGCCCAGGAGAAGGGATGAGCCTCATGGGAACTCAGGTGTCTAGCCATTTGCATAGGAGACAAACAGGGATGAGTGTAGGCCCCCTATCGTATCACTTAATCCTTCTAAAACTCTCTGGGAGTGGATATTGTTCCTTCTAATTTGTAAGTGATACAATAGAGGTCCAGGAAAAGTTAGGTGACTTGCCCCAAATCACACAGGAGCACCTAAATCTGACCAATGATTTGAGCCCCTTGCTCTGAGCCTCAACTGTAGGAGTCCACTTACCTGTACTATTTTATTTTTGTTTATCTTTTCCCCCTGTACTGGAGATCGAACTCAGAACCTTGCACTTGCCAAGCAGGAGCTTATGTCACTGAGCTATCTCCCCAGCCCCCTACCTGCACTATTTTAAAAGCTTAAATTCTCCACAGGAAATTCCCTAAAATGATTGAAATTTAGTTGGATCCTTGTTTCATGACTTGGGAAGAGAGCTTCTGTTGGAACGAATAGACAGTGCCATTGGGAATGCTCTATCAGGAGGCTGCCCTTCGTTAATGTTTGACCAGCTCAGTAGCAAAGGTCTGACTTCTTCCTGAGCGAGACTTAGCTAGAATAGATAACCTTGCTCTTGCCTCTGTGCCAGCTGAAGTGCTGACAGGCATATTTTATGGGATTATCTCTTTGACTCCTCCCAGTGTCTTGCCACTTGGATACTCTCGTGTCAGTGCACCAAGGAGAAAAGTGAACCCTCACAGTGCTCAGGTAAGTTGCCCAAGGCCATGAAAAATGGCGGTGGAGCGAGCTTTGTCCTCCTGACTCCAAAGCTCTTGCTTTTTCAACAAAGCATTATTCTGTGGAGCTTTTGGGACAGGAAGGGACCTGCCAGTTGGAGAATGATTTATGAGGCTTTGTAATATCCTCTGGCATAAAACCTGCTTCCCAGGATTTTGTCTCTTTTCAACCTCTTGAACTTAAACTTAGAAAGAGTTGGAGGACTAATCCTAGTGATGGTTGCACTGGAGCAGCCATTACGCTGTGAGGCAGGTTCCATTGTAATCTCCGCGTTCAGAGGAGAAAACAGGCCCAGAAAGGCTGCATAAGTTGTTTACACAGCCTGTAAATATCAAAGGCAGAATTTTTTTTTTTTTATGAACTGCTTTATTTCATTTTATCTTTGTATGTATTTAGTACAGGATCTACAGGGTCTCACTAAGAAGATAACAATGTACAATGTGTTAATTATTGAAACTGTCCTATTAATCAGCTTTGAAAAAAAAAGAAAGAGAGAGAAGTAATTGGTAAACTTTTTCCAGTTTTGTGAGTTGTCTAGTCTTTTTTTTTTGGTGGAATCAGGGCTTGAACTCAGGCCCTTGCGCTTGCCAGGGAAGCGCTTATTCCACTGAGCCATCTCCCTGGCCCCAAAGACAGAATTTGAACCCAGGAAGTCTGGCTTGACTCTGGCCTCAGATGATTATGTTATTGCTGCTGAGGCCAGGACCAAAGATCTCTAGGGAAGAGAATGACAAATCTGATTTTTTGACATCAGACTTTCTTTAGAGCCCTGTGTTTTATGTAAGAGCTCTGTTTGAATGTAAAGCTATTTACAATGATGTCATCAGGTAAAGTGGTACTTTGGAAAAGTGCTCCTTCTTTATGCTGTGACTTCAGTAAACTGTCACTGTCCCTTACCCAGCACCTCACCTAAGGGAGCCAGAGATGTGATGTTTTGGATCTTGGTTTTTTTTTTTTTTTTTTTTTTTTTTTTTTTTTTTGGGTTTAGAACTTTGGTTCTTGGGTTTTTTTTTTTCTTGGTTTTTTTTTTTTGAGACAGAGTCTCACTGTGTAGTCCAGGCTGGCCTGAAACTCATGGTGATCCTCCTCCTGCCCTAGCCTCAGTCTCGAAAGTGCTGGAGTCATGAGTCTGCATCACCACACTTGGTGATATCTGTAAATTTGTAAGTAGGCTAGGAAACCTGACTCTGTTCTGACTCATCCTGGCATCCTGGGGTAGGGTAGGACAGAGCAGAGTTTTCCCTGCAGAGATCTAAACTGAATCATCTACCTCCTCCTTCTAGAAGAACAGGCTCCGGGCGAAGTGCACCCTGCTCACCAGGGGCTAAAGGAGGCAGAAGGGAAGTGCCGGTGGCTCTTCAGGAAGAGGCGACCTGCGGTGGCTCATCTGCTAGCAGCTTTGAGCAAAGGAACAAGCAGGATCTCACATTGAGCAGACCGAGTTCTGTGCCCAGACAGCAAGTGAAAACGAGCTTTCTCCTTGCTAAAAGTATGATGTAACAGTATGAAAGAAAACATTGATAACACGACCCACTTCACTTTTCTTCCAGCCTTTGCCCGAATTCATGCATTTAAAAACAATTCAGCAGTTACAGTCAGAGCGAGCATACCATTTTGCAGATAAGCTGGATTCTTGCTAGGAAACCAGCTGAAGTGTTCAGTAAGTGGTATCTTTCTTACCCAGACTCTGTGGCCTTGTCATCTTGATTTTTCTCTTCGCTATATTTAGTGTGACCTCATTTAGGTTCAAGTTTCCCTCTCTTCTTTTCTGTTCTCAGAGTGTCTCAGGGAGATAAATATGGATTGCCACCCTGCTTTATCCTTTGCAACTAGCTGGAATGTGATTGGAATTTGCAAGAAGAAAGCATTGAAAAGCATATTTACTGCCTACACTCAGCTACATCTCCAGCTTTACACAGAGTTTTTAACTCTATGTAAACCTTGGTACCATGTTTCAAAATCCTTTAATCTTCACTGTTTATCATTTATTTGAACATAATGCCTTTCCCATCCTACCTGCACGCGCTCTTGACGTGAACACACTGCCCTAGGTAGCTGTGCTGGATGACAAGGTCTCCTAGGTACTCCGTGTCCTGGGAATTCCCTAGGAGGCAGCAGAGTAGCTAAAACTAGCATGGATCCAACTCCTGCCTCTCCCCATTATTAGCTCTGCACTTTGGGGCAATAGAAGCAGCTGCATCATCATTAGAAGGAACAAGTAAGTTAGTACGTGCAGGACAGTGGAGCAGACCCTGGAGCACAGTAAGGACTCTGAGCATTAGCTATTATCCAAATGCCTTCTAGTCTTCAAAGACCAGAGAGCATCCTACCTCTGATTTTCTCTGCTTAATGTTACACAACCCATAATGATTGTTTCACTCTTGGAAACATAATTTTCTTAGCATTTAGATATAGCTGGAGAATAGATGGAAAAATACAGTATCTAGGTTCAAATCTTGGCACACTAGGTATTGGGGGGCTTTGAGTGAGCTGCTTAAGTCTTAGTTTTGTCATCTGTTTAATGGATATTTTGATACTTTGAAGGGTTATTGTTGGGGCTGGAGAGATGGCTCAGTAGAATAAGCACTTCCCTGGCAAGCACAAGGGCCTGAGTTCAATCCCTGGTTCTGTCAAAATAATAATAATAATAATAATAATAATAATAATAATAATAATAAATAAATGAAGGGCTATTGTTAGGACTAAAGAGGTAGGGTCGAGTTAAGGAGTATTTTGAACAAGACCTAACTCATGGTAGACCAGTAAATATACAGGCCCTTTCAAAATACCTTAGGGTTTTTGTTTTCTTGGTTGTAAAAGCAAAATCATGGGCCGGGGAGATAGCTCAGCAGCTTAAGTGCCTGCCTGGCAAGTGCAAGGTCCAGAGTTCGATCCCCAGTACCACCAAAAAAAAAATATAGATATAGATATATAGATAATATAGCAATGAAACAGAGAAAATTAAAATAATGATAAACATCTTCCTAGAGACAACAATTGTCCCAGGCTGCAGTAGCTCCTATCCTGGAGACTAACAGCTGACTGTATTTCTCTTAGTTTCTATCTCTCCTCCCAGCCGCCATGAACTTCACAAGAATGCACATGTGTTTTAAAAAGAACCAAGCTTGGTGGTACATGCCTGCAATCCCAGAACGCAGGAGGCTGAGGCAGGCGCATCTCAGCCAGTCTGAGATCAGCCTGAATTACATAGACTTGGCCTAAAAAAAAAAAAAAAAAAGAATCAGTGTATACTAATTTTGCAGCCTACACTATGTTACATAGGCATTTCTCCATCTCATTCGTGTTTTTCAAAGCTATGGTTTTTCTGCTGTAAAGTATCGATACACATCCATACTAAAACTATTTAACCATAGCTTTATTTTTTAAAATTTTGTGTGTGTGTGTGTGTGTGTGTGTGTGTGTGTGTGTGGCCAGCTCAGCCCACCAGGGGGCAGGGCTGGCTGGCATGTGGTGCTGGGAGATTGAACCGCGGTCCCTGTGCTTTGCTAAGCTTGTTCTAAGTAGGTACTTTAGACCACTGAGCCATCTCACCAGCCCCTAACCATAGCTTTATTAGTGTGGTTTGAAGTTTTATTTAGGTTGTAGCTATTCTGAATCATGCTGCACTAAATATGTCTGTATATGAACTTTGTAAGTAGTTCATTAAGTTCCTAGGAATAAAAATTGCCTTCAAAGATAGCACATTAAAGGGTTGTGATATATATCGCCAACTTTAACCTTCCCAAGAGGTTGTATAAACCATTCCTATCAACAGTGACAGATGGGGGTGTGGCCTTCATATGTTACTTTGCTAACTCTGGTGTGGTTTAACCTTTCATCTGCTTTGTCTAGTACCTTTCAGCCTAGATGGCAGTAATCTTCTTGAGCAGGCATGGTGACCATCTGCTTCTCTGTTAACACCAGAACTGCGCCTGGTTTCACTTACACAGTGTCCCTGAATATTTGCCAAATGAATGAACTTTCATCCACAACTGTCTCGCTGGGGTTAAGACCTAGAGCAGGGCCTTACACAATCACTCTCAAACTGGTCAAATTGAGAGTTGATAGACTTTTCCACCGTCTCACAGAGAGATGGGTTGAGAAGAAAATAATTAACTCTGAGAGTTGGGAATGGTTCCAGGAGAGAAAATGAGCTGCTTTTCAGGGCTTGCTCTGCAGCAGGTTTGAAATGGACTTTCTGAACTGCTTTCTGTTCTTTCCCTATTACTGGGCGTGGAGAGGGGCAGGATCTGGTTTTACAGCTTAGCTATTTAGCAGAATGAGTGGAATTTTCCAGATGGTCCTCTCGTTGGCTGTTGGTCTGATTGCAGCTTTGCCCTCTGGGAGCCATTAGGCTGCAGTCCCAAGCCTAGACGGCTGTTTCAGCAGGTCAGATTGTGGGAGCCTTGTGCTCTTGTTGACACGGAGCCATGCAGGATTTCAGACCACACAGACCTCTTTCCCCTGTGCTACCACTCGACTGACTCCATGCTTTGAACAACAGGGCTGCAGTGAGGAAGGTGTTGTGCTGCTCCCTGACACACACACATCCATCCTCAGTGCAGTGACTAAGATGCTTCCCTGGAAACGGGCACCTTTCTGGGTGCCAGAATTTGAGGTAATCCACTGGGAACAACACACTGTTTCAGAATTTCCCTGAATCTACACCCTAACTGTGAACATGAGCTGATACTTCCTTTTCCCTACACCCTTAGAACCTCCTCAGGGATTGTTCGATTTTCAGGTAAAAAGGCTTTGAATGTGTAAGTTTACATGGGTTGGGGGCATCCGAGCTCACAATCATATTTCCCTGTTATGCTTCTGTTTGTAAACTGACCACTAATCCTCACCATTCTCAGTAAATACAGGTTTCCCAGGAAGCAGGAAATCAGAAACTATAAAGTGGTAAGTCTGGATGGGTAGGCCTTGTCATGGGTGAGGAATGGTTTGAGGCTTATGGTGGGCCAATTGATTCCTGGCCATCAAAGAGGTTACCTCTTAAGGCCCCTTTTCCTCAGTTAATTCCTTTAACCTAGAAGCCAGAAGACTTCTCTTAGCATTACAAACCACCTTTGTGCAGATAGGCTATGCCAACAGGTAAGTCCTGGTTTGTCGAGGCTAGACCATGTAAAACTGTATTTCCCAGGCTCCCTAGCAGTTAATAGTTTTGATGTGATCCGTTAAGACTTGAGATCTGGATATGGGACCAAGTTGGTTTTTTTATTTTGAAACAGTCTTGCTAAGATGCCCAGGCTGGCCTCAAACTTTGCCTTTCTGCTTCAGCCTCTCAAGTGTGCACCCACATGCCCAACCTCAAAGCAATGCTTTGACTTAGCCTATTCATTTGTTGACTGAGACAAAATAAAATGGTTGGATTTTATCCTTGACTTTATTATGGATTCCTTTTATCTGGAGGTAGATCTGAATTATTCCGTTCTTTTTTTATAATGCTTTTTCTTGCATGGATAGAAGACTTTATGTGGTGTTTTTCTCCAGAAGTGCTCTTCCCCAGAAATTGTATTGAGGTGCCCAAGCAGAGGTGTATCTCCACCTTTGTTGACTTATCTAATTGGAACAATGTAATGGGTCGATTCATGGACTTCATAATTACCCCTCCATGAAAAGGGTATCATTAATAGGAAGCATAGATCATGTAAGGCAATTACACTGAGGCTTGTAATAGGTAGAGAAGAGGGCTGGGAGAAACATTTTGCTGTTTTTGAAGACATCATCAGTACCAGTTTAACCAAAAAGCGATATACAATGTAAGTCAGGCCCAGCCTATCCTGACAGCTGACTCAATGGATGTTATTTACTGAGGTACCGTACCACATCTCCACCTCCTTTGACTGGTTTTCAAATGGGTTTTTTGTGGGCTCCACTTTGCCATGAAAAATGGATTCGGCTGTCTCAGGCATCCAAGGTGTGGGCTGGAAAGGGGCTGTTTAGGCAAGACTACGCTTAGTAACTGTAAATTTATAATATATGCCCCAAGAGCCTTCTTGAATGCTTTGAGTTTTGGTCCTTCATATACACAGTTACAAAGAAAAGAGCAGTTAGAGAAGAGGAACCCCAAGCCTGAAAGGAGCGTGCTTTACCTCTTGCAGGTGCCGGCAAGCTGCCCTGCTGTGTCCTGGCTTCTCAAGGGGATGTGGGTTCATCAGGAACCCAAACCAGGAAGAAGCAACAAACACAATCTCAGGTTTGGAACTAAAAAAAGACTTTATTGAGGGCAAGAGGATGCAAATACAAAAATCAAAAGCTTATGTAGCATTTAATGAACCTTCCACCCTCTGTCCAGTGAGAGCTGGATGTTATTTGTACATTTTCTAAGGGTCCTGATCTGCTCATGACATCTTTACACAAGGGGTAACCAAGGGGCAGATTCCTTAAACAGCCCTTTGGGAGAACTCTCATCAGGGCAGGAGTAAATGTTCACGCTGTCTACTTCTTTCCCTTCTGCTTCATGTGTACTACAAAGTAATCATTGCACGCGATGGTGAGGCCTGCAATTAGTGAAAAGAAGCTCTGGAAGCCCACTTTGCCATCTCGGCACTGGTCCAGGTCCTTCATGATTTTGTCCAAAGCCAGAGGGTCTTTTTGATTCTGGGGGGGGGGGGAGAGAAGAAAGATAAGAAATATTAGTCAGTGGTTGCAATGCTGAGTGTATCCGATTTGTATTGATAACAGGGCCTGGGGATTTGGCTCAGCGGTAGAACTCTTGCCTAGCGAAGCTGGAAGCCCTGGGTTCGGTCCTTCGCACCAAAAACAAAAAAACAGGTTTATGTATTGATGACAACATAATGATCTGAGCTCTTGTCTTAGGTCATAAGTGACCTCTGTAGGTCACCTAAATGTTTTTTCAATTTTTTTTTTTTGGTGGAACCGGGGATTGAACTCAGGCCCTTGTGCTTGCCAAGGAAGCGTTTATTCTAGTGAGCCATCTCCCCGGCCTGTTTTTTTAATCTGTTCTTTATTTATTTGGTACAGGGTCTTGCTATACAGCTCAGAATCATAGTGACCGTCCTGTCTCAGCCTCCCCAGTGCTGGGATTACAGGCACATACCACCATGTCCAGTTTCAGTGTCCGGCTTGGAGCAGGGCTAGCATGGTATGTGATACCAGGGATCGAACCTGGGTCCTTACACTTGCCAGGCAGGTGCTTAGACCACTGAGCTATCTCCCTGGCCATTTTTTTTTTTTTTTTAAATAAAAATGCTTCTTTTTTTTTTGTTTTTGTTTTGCGGGACTGGGGATTGAACTCAGGACCCTGTGCTTGCCAGGTGAACACTTATTCTACTGAGCTATCTCCCCAGCCCCCCCCCCATTTGTTTTTTAATTTTTTATCCTGGAACATCTCAGTAACTTCATATTTAGACTCTGCCTAAGAACTACTCTATACTCACCACTTCTTAGTTCAAACTTACACGTATTCCTGATAACATGGTCTAATCTCTTAAAAAGAAACATCTTATCAAAAGATCTCATGAGATTATTTAGGGAGTAAGTTTCAGTTCTACCTATTTTAAGGAGGTTCTAATGATCTCAAGGGGTTAACTTTGGGAAGACGGATAGGAAGCTCATTTTTCTCCTCTCACAGCTAATATCCTGGACATAGTGGCCACGTGACCTGGAGTAAGTTGCATGGCTTCGTGTTCACTGGTTCATCAACAGTGAGTGGAGGCGTGTGCCGTGCAGTGCCATCTCCAGGTTCCACTGCGTTCTTTTAATTTTTTTCCCTTTGCAGTGCTGAGGCTGGATCCTAGGTCCTGTGCATGCTGGGTTACTGCTTTACCACTGAGCTTCACCCTTCGGTTCTGGGGGTTGGTAAATCTGCACCACCCTATGCTCTTCACTGGATGCTGCACGTTGGAGAAATGTCAAAGGAAACACGTGATGGCTCATCACCCCCAAAGCCTAGAAGTAACGTGTGAAGCAGTGATGTGCAGGTAAGATGCCCTTTGCTTTCATGGAGACTGGCCTGCTCACTTCTTGTGCAGTGATGCTGGTCACAATAAAAGCGTGATTACTCCTACAGTGTCTATGCCATTGATCAGAGAGGGGAATACAGCTGCTTACAGTCATTACCAGACTCAGAACAAGTACTGGTCAATTCAGGTGATGTGAGTGTAGCGAGTATGCTGGAGGTTTATACACTGCACTCATAAATCCCTGATGGTAAAGCAGCTGACTTTCTTACATGAGGACCTCAAGCTCCTACCCTAAGCAATCAACTCAATCCTGCTCCACGCAGCTAATTCTGGTCTCACCCCCAGTTTCCTGGCTCATGAAATTTGGGGTTGGGGAGATGGCTCAGTAGGATAAGCATTTGATTGGCAAACGCAAGGATCCGAGTTCAATCCCCAGTTCCGCAAAAAAAAAAAAAAAAGAATGAGTGAAATTTGGATGACATCAGGGGTCAACTTTAGAAGCAAAATGTTCTTCATGCAGTTAGTGTCGGTGTGTCTAGAATTACCCTGGGCCTAGATAAATGATCCTGCTGTGATCGGCACTCCACACTCCACACACCTTTTCTGTTGCTGATGCCACAAAGCCTTTAGGGAGGAAGGGTCTGGGTCTATGTGACATCTATTCTGGCTTCTGGCTTATGCAGCACCATGATTAGCAAGTGTGTGGCAATGAGAACATCTCTGCCCATGTGACACTGTGGGTTGGAATGAGGACATTCTGTCTTTGCATTTTATGGTTGCCCATAAGATCAAAGAAAGTAAAAGCCGTCCTGCAGCTGATCTGTCCAGATCAGCTTTTACAGAGGGAAGGAACTCAGGTCCAGAGCACCAAAGCTACTTGCTCATTTTTTGTTAGGCTAGAGCCAGATCTTCAAATTCCCCCCCCCCCTTTTTTTTTTTTAACGGCGGAACCAGGGATTGAACTCAGGCCCTTGCACTTGCCAGGCAAGCGCTTATTCTACCGAGCCATCTCCCTAGCCCCACATCTTCTAATTCCTGATCTGGGGCCGGATCACAGCATTCTACATAGGCAGTGCAACTGTATGTTCTAGCTTATTCTGGGATAGCACTTGGATCAGTGATGGCAAACTTTTCAGAGGTTTCAACAATAAATAACCCACTGTGAAATGCCTGCCACACATGCCTGCCACACATGCGCCACCACTGTTAATTATTTAACTGATATCGATGACATATAAAAATAGTATTAATGGATATAGGAATTAGGAGCTTGACTCCTGGCTATTTACCAGGCAGATAACAAGAGGTTTACCAGGCATATAATGTCACTTGCCCTCACAATTATTCAACACTTAGAAAGCAAATGATCACAACTGTGGCAGAGAATGACACGCTTTAATTTCCACGCCCCAGTGTGTCAAGCAGTGCTTTGCCTTGATTGAACGTCCAATTCAACAACCATCTTTGAAGTGTCTACAAAGTCAAAGGACAGTGGCCGGGGAGATGGCTCAATAGAATAAGCCCTTGCCTGGCAAGCACAAGGGCCTGAGTTCAATCCCCGGTTCCGCAAAAAAAAAAAAAAAAAAAACAAAGTCAAAGGACAGTGCGCCTCATGGTCTAATGTCCTGAGTGGTGCATGTGGCTCTGGGCAGAGTCCTCCTCACCTGTGGGGTTTGTTCAGCTAAAGGGGAGGCACACACTTGACTGTGCTCCTGTGTCCTGTAGCAATTTTGCTGTAGAAAGCAGTTATTTCTAGAGCAACACCTGACTTCTGTTCAGCTAATGACTGATACCATTCCTGTGTATATCAGAGTTGGCAAAGAAACAAACCCACAAGCTTTTATCTGAAGGGATTTAAGAAGGGAGATTCTAGGGCCAGGGAGATGGATCAGTGGAATAAGTGCCTCCTTGGCAAGTGCAAGGGCCTGAGTTCAATCCACGGTTCCAAAAAAAAAAAGAAGGGAGATTCTGTTTGGAGGCATTACTTAGCATGTGGAAGGGCTGGGTTTGATCTCCAAACAAATAAAAAAGAGATCCAAGTTGCTCCAAGCAGAACGTGACCAGGATGTGGCATCTTGGATACCAGGTTTATGGTTGTTTACTATTTTTTTTTAAAAAGATTTTTGTTTATTTATTTGATACAAAATCTTGCTCCCAGGGCTGGCACGTATGTGGTACCAGGGATTGAACTTGGGCCCTTGTGCTTGTCAGGCAGGTGCTCAGACACTGAGCTATCTCTCCAGCCCATTTACTATCTTGTAAAAATCCTTCTTTGCCTCACACTATTGCAATGAATGCAGAAGACTCCAGAAGGAATGTTCCAGAACAATTTCCTATGACTGTGCGGTGGCAATGTCCTGTCTCATTTCACCTGCAGACCCTGGGCTCTCTGAGGGCAGGGGCTGTGCCTTCTTTACTTTGTGTTCCTGTTCTACCTTACACAAACTAAATGCTCCATATTGCTTACTAATAGATGAATGAAAACCCTTCTCTGCAGTGACCTCCACAAGGAACGGCGGGGAAAAGCATGGCAAAGGAAGCACTGACTTATTTATCTGAGTTTTGGGAAGCCTTTCAACACCTACTTCCAAAAATCCAGGGAACTCCTTTTCCATGAGTACTCGCAGGTCCTCCTTTGTTAAGTAGCACTTGTCCCCAGCAAATTTGTGAAATGTAAACATCATGGTTTCCATGGCGTGTTCCATTTGGGAGGGCATGTTGACTGTTGAACCTGTCAAAGGGTATAAAGAAAAAGGATTAGATTTTATTTTATTTTTTTTGAGACAGGGTTTTGCTATGCAGTTCAGGCTGGCCTTGAATTTGCAGAGATCCTCCTGCCTCAGCCTCCTGAGAGCTGGGATTATAGGCACATGCTACCATGCCTGCCCTACACTTTGCTTTCAAATCATATGTACTGTCCATATTTCGAGGATATTTGGTAGAATGGTGACTAGACCTTTCCAGATATAAAATTCAAAGACTCCAAGGACCAGTTTAATTCCATTTTTGGATATCTCAATGGTGGAAATGGGCAATCAGGTATCAGTGCTTTGAAGTAGGATTCATGTGGTTGCCAGCTTATTCTGCATATATTACCCACCAAAGAATACAAACTGTACTGATTTGGAAAAGCAAGATGAATGTGCCTCTTTTCAACTGACAAAGCACCTATTGAAAGAACAGGTATTTCTTCATTTCTCTTGACACTGACAAAAGGGACTCAGATTGGGCCAAAACCCCATGTAGACAAGACTGATTAACATGAAAACTTCAACCTTCCAAGCTTAACGCGGTAACCTGGTTCATTCTGATTCTGGGACTTCGGAATCTGCTAACTGTTGCTTATTTATACTTTCCTAAAGTTCTAAACTTGCTATTTGTTGCAATCAAGATATTTGCATTTCTGGTGGTAAAGTGCAGCAGCTCTCCCTCAGTACAATTTTCCCAGAGTTCATTACTACCTTCACCAGGAAGAAGTAAGTAATAATATGTCCTAACTCTCCTTTGGCGGTCTGACATACTTCGGCAGCATGAAGGAGAAGAACTGTTCACACAGTCCAGGGCGTGGTGGGAAAGCAAGAGCTTTCACCATAAAGAGTTCAGGACAGGAGAGAAACAAGGCAGGTCATTGCATTCAGATATAGTGAACTTGGGGCACATGTTTCATCAAGAACCAGTGCCTTGGAGGCCGGGGAGATAGCTCAGTAGAATACGCACTTGCCTGGCAAGCACAAGGGCCTGAGTTCAATCCCTGGTTCCATGAGAAAAAAAAAAAAAAAAAAAAAAAGAAAAAAAGAACCAGTGCCCGATTCTGAACAGAGGCCCAGCGGATTCTAGCTTCACAGAAGGTACACTCTGGCCAGAAGAGAACAGCTTTGTCTCATGTCCTATAAAATCTATACCAAGGGCCAGCCAGATAGCTCAGTGGATTAAAGCTCCTGCTTAGGCAGGCTCAGCAAGTAGGGTTCGATCCCCAGTATGCCATGCCGGCCCTGCCACTAGGGCTTGCTGAGATGGCAACTGACACTGGGCGTGGTGGTGCGCACCTGTAATCCCAGCACTTGGGAGGCTGAACACAGGTGGATCACTATGAGTCCAATCTCTGTAGTGAGATTTAAATAATGTATTTAAATTTTTAAATACATTTAAAAGAAAAAAATCTACATAGAGATGGATACGTACATAAACAAACAAACAAAAAATCTATACCAGACAGGAAACAGGTGAACTTGTTTGGAGACTGTAATATATTACTTTAAAAAACAAATCATAGTAGGCTGTGAGCACAGGTGGGAGAGGCTGGGAACCGGCCCCACTGAAGGGCACCAATCAGACCCTGAGCTTCACTTCAGGCTGAAGATGCCTGTCCAGCCCAGAGCCTACATGCTGTCCTTTATGGAGTGAGAAGTGGAGATGGTGAACACGAGGATGGACAGTTACTGCTCAGAGCTGTAACTTCTACCCCTTACTCTCCAGAAAGGTACAAGAACCAGCATGCCGAGGAACGCAACTCTCATAGAGAATGCTATAAGCCAGAATCTGGCACAATCTATCTGCAAACTGTTCTCCAGCTAGCAGAGCGCAGTGAATGGGTACTTCAAGGTCCATTGTGCAATGAATTCCAGGGGACCACACCCATTTCCTTCTCTTCCTACACAGTCCGCACTGGCTCAGCACTGGCTCACCCCCAACTCCCACGCAGGCTTCCCATCCATGGCAGTGGGCTTAGGAGAGTCTGCCTTGCCTGGGTTGGTCTGAAAGTCTAACAATTTAAGAAAACTGAATTGATATCAGACCCAAAAGCTACAACTTTTGTTGCATAGGTCCTGCTTTACCTTGGTTTTAACCATCCAGCAGAAAAGTATAAAAATGAAGTATAAGAAGTAAAGCCATGGTGTTATGTTGAGCTGTGGGGGACTGAGGTCAACAATTTCTGACATTGCCAGTCAAGCAGAAGACCCAATACTATTATGGACTACTGAACTCTTAGAATATTTTGCTGAGTTTACACACCTATAATATTCAAATAATGGAACTTAACACAAAAAGGGGATACAGATGAATGTCCATTTTGTATCTGTGTATTCAAAATGGTTAGGATAGATATATAGTTACATTCTCTTAATGAATAGAGCGATTTGTTCTAATGGTGTTTGTAAATAGGATATCAAGTCCGCATCTTGTACAGCAATTAACCACCAGGAAGAGTGTATGCAATGTGTTAATTATTGAAACTGTCCTACCCATTTAATTTGAAACTGTCTCATTGTTATTTGTTTCTCAATAAAATTATAGGGAAAAAAAGTTTAAAAAAGTAAAAAAGAAAAAAAACAATAAAAAAAGAAAACTGAATTGAGTGAGTCAATTATATGAGAAGAACATGGGCTCTTGCCTCAGTATTTAAATAACTCAGGAAACAAGCCAGACACCAAGGTTTAAAAATACCTGTGCCCAGCCAGGCGTGTTGGCACAGGCGTGTTACATTCTTGTAGCCCCAGCACTGGAGGCTGAGGCTGGAGGACTGCTGAGTTCAAGGCCAACCTGGGCTACCAAGTAAATTCAAGGTCACACTGAATTGCATAGTGAAACCCTGTCTCAAAAGATAAACAAACAAACATAACCCAAACCAAACAAACCTGTGCCCAAGCTCTGAGCAGAGCAGCAGAGCACTTACGGACCAATTCCCCAGAGATCATAGGTATTAAAAATGAGGACCCCTACTTCATGTTCTTCCCAAGACAGCAGGAGAGTGCACTGCAAAGCCTGAAGGGTATGCAGCCAGATAAGGATCCCTAAACTAGGAAAACAGGTAGACTCCCACATCCCCCAAGAAATATAAGCTGTAGGTGAGGAAATCTTGTCCATAGCTAAACATATTTTTCAAGAGAAAGAGGTCAGCCATACAAACAAACCTCAGGTCTGTCACTCTGATCACCCCTTCTCGGGTCACCTCTTCCTTGTCCACACTAGCTATGAAGGGATGGTGTGTCCCAGTCTAGACCTGCAGCCCCACTACCAGCTGCGGTGGGGAACGGAGCCGCCAGCTGGCTCCCTGCACATCCACTAGGCCTTCTGCTGTAAGGATGCAGGGGATGCCGGGGAGATGGCTTAGTGGAATAAGCGCTTCCCTGGCAAGCGCTAAGGGCCTGAGTTCAATCCCCAGTTCTGCCAAAAAAGAAAAAAAAAAAAAAAAGAATGCAGGGGAAGCTGAGGCAAGAGGGCCAATGGCCTGAGTCCAGCCTGGGCCACTTAGGAGCCTGAACAAGAGCTTGTCTCAAAATAAAATTTAAAAAATCTGGTGATCTAGCTCAGAGAAAAGACCTGGGGTTTAACTCCCAATACCACAAAAAACAAAACCCACACACAAAAAATTGCAGAGCAGAGGCTAGCCAGAAGTGAAACCAGCAATGAAAATCAGAGCCATTTGGGGCTGGGGAGATGGCTCAGTAGGATAAGCGCTTGACTGGCAAACGCAAGAATCTGAGTTCAATCCCCGGTTCCAAAAAAAAAAAAAAAAAAAAAATCAGAGCCTTCTTCCATCACAGGAGTAACCTGTGCCCCAGAGGGTACCGACCAAGGTGACAAGTCAGGAACTGTGTTCAGAATCAGCTGTATGTGGGTTTGGAAGCAAGACAAAGGAAATGGGGGATGCTTGCCTAACACGGCCTCTTGGCTGGATGCACCTCACACCTCTGCCTGTGTGCAGGGTCCAAGAATCAGCCTGCAGCACTCTCCCTTCTGAGTGGGGCTTACAGGGCAAGGGTGACTGCAGTGGTGCCCACCGGTTAAGCCCAAGTTTAATAATTCATGTCCTCAGGAACGTGAATCCAGCATTCTCCCCACACACCACCGCAGCAGCCTGCTTGCGGCTTAGATGCACTCAGGCAGGGGGCTCTGGACTGGGCTGGGAGGTGGCAGCATCTTTTCAGTGTCCCCAGCAACCTATTCCTGCCCTGGAAACACTTAATTGCAATAAACTGTGTACTAGTCAAGCTCTTCTTAGTCAAGAACCATGTCCATGGACTACTAAGTAACTGTTACATCAATGAATGAAAGAATCAAACCAGCACCTTGTCTGCAGCTGAGATGAAGGCGTGATTACCTAGAAGAGGTCGGAAACCTTGTAGCTCAGGGCTTAGCAGCAGGACCTGAGAACTGGGAAGGGCCTCCAAAGGGGCCTCAACAAGGTCTGCCCACGGAGGACAGCACATTCCAGATGCAAACAGGAAAATATGCGTCTTGTTAAACAGGTCTGGCCAGACTCTAACAGGGCTTCTGACTCCTGGTAGTTTTCTTGTGTTTTCATTCATTCTACCTTCGGTTTTGTTTTTCTAGCTCTCTCACCCTCAGCTCCACAGGAGGTACTAACCTCACTGCCCACTCACTTTTTAAAAAAAATTTTTGAGACAAGATCTTATTGTACAGTCCAGGCTCATTACGTAGCCCAGTCTGGCCTCCAACTCATTTCACGGCAATCTTCCTGCCTTAATCTCCCCAAGTGTATCACTACATCTGGCCCCATTCACCTTTTATTGAATCACTTTATTCACTGATTGTTTGAGACAGGGTCACTTTGTATAGCCATGCAAAGTCCTGGAACTCACAGTGATCCTCCTGCCTATGTCCCCTGTGCTGGGATCACAGGCATGCATCACCATGCCTGACGAATCGTTTTATTCTAATGCCTGCCTGTGCTCTTTACATGTGTGCGTGGGCTGTAAAAAGTGAAGGCTCAGAAATTTGACCTCTCTCTATACTTCTCTCTGCAGAAAGCAATCCTGACTTGAGCCCTTTTTGGTTCTCCTACATTAAGCAACTACTTTGCAAGTTCCAGTGATGGTGTCAAGAGATTTATGTTCTCTCCATGGTGCTTGCCCTCAGCTAATGGCATATTACTTAAAAATCTGCCCTCAATTCTAGTTATTTGTTTTTGGTTCTTTGCCCAATAGACTGCAGGATGCTCAGGCAGTCTCAGTGGCCAGTGCCCGGCCTTCATGCAGCCCGCGCAATACACCGGTGAACATGAGATGGGCAACAGTGAGTGAGAATGGTCACCCAGGAAGCAAGGAGGGAGACCCCTTAGCAAAGTGTCTGCTTCTGAACAATCCCAGATGTCTGCTCTGGACTTGTGCCCGGATGGAGGCCATAATTTTCAAGAGGACTCTTCTAAGGGGCAAGAGGTCTGACTTACTTTGCTCACCTGTACTGTGTTTTCTTAACGCCACCCAGAAACTGAATGGCAGCATGCCAGTCATGCCAGTCAAAAACAAACATCTGTTATTTAAAATACATTTGAAATTTTCTTCCTCTTGTTTTGGGGATTTGGAAAATTAAAAAGAAAAAAATTCTTTTATTGAAATTAAACCCAGAAGGCATTTTTGAAGTTGATCCCTAAAGGAAATTAAGAAAGGGAAAAAAAAAAAAAAGAGTGGAGACAATAGATCTCCATCCAAGATGTCTCTCACCAAATAAAACTTGCCCACTAAAAAACTGGTCAGCAAAGGAAAGTTCCAGATGCAATTCAATAGAAAGAAAGAACTCAGAAACATCAAACTCAACCACACTGCTTTGGAGAACTGTCAGGCATCTAAATCAGCCAATAATAACTATTGTGAAAACTGCTATTAAATCCTTTGGAGAGGTAAATGGGAGTTGTTTAGTGGAAGCATAGGAAGTACTGACACTTGTTAAAAAAAAAAAAAAAGTAAATTCTTTTTGCTTTGGCACCAGGTTCCAAAATCATTGAGTCCTGGGAAAATGAGAAGATCAAGAAAGATCCTACAATTTTAGTCCAGCTTTCCCAGTACTCTGAGCGCTAATTTATACAGTATAATCCTGAAAGAATTCCATTGTTTCCCTTATCATTATGCTTTAGAAGACAGGATTGTGCTCAAGGGCATACCAAGTGGGTGGTGCTCACAAAAGTCATAGTTTTTGAGCTGTCAGTGGAAAGAAGAGGCACCCAGCCTCAGCCCCACCGAGCCCCAGGCCTGACCACACACTGGGGAGGCTGTTGGGGCTGGCCAGAGGCCAGCAATGGGAGGACAAGGGCCCAGCTGATGAATTCAGGAGGAGTCTACAGTTGAGTCCAAACTACAGCTCTATCCCCAAGAGACCTAGAAAACTGGAACTCAGTATTTAAGAAGTTTGATGAGGAACTCCAAACGCTGAATCAAGGACCACAGTGAAGAAACTGCCTGTGGGCTATCCAGGAACATAATACCATGTAGAAGAGATGATTAAACAGTAACCAGATAGGAATCTGTGGGGGAGGGCTGACGAGGAAATTTCAAAGGAGTAATAAGGACTGACTCCAGCCCCAACTCCTGCGTTATCTTTTGCAATTTACTGAAGCACACTGGAGACAAAGATCATCAACAGGGCATTTCCATGGACCTGGTCTCACCCGAAGTGCAGGACATAAAATTCCATTCTGGGAGGCTGAAACTCAAGCTTCAGGGAGAAAAAAACCCCTCTGCATTAACTGCAGACCTCTTAATGGAAAAAGCTACTTCCCAAGTAAAGCTGAGGCTGGCTGCCAGGCAGCACATCTCGGGCTGACAGCCTGCCCGATAACCCAGAGCAGTCTTGCCATGGCCCTGCCAATCTAATTACTACTCTCACCACCACTCAGTCAAGAAACGGCTCCTTCAAATTGGCACCCACTCCTGGTATGACTCACTTCCTCTTGGAAAATGCCCTCTAAGATGGCACAGTTCCTTTTTTCCTGCAGGGAGCATACTGTCCAGAGTATCTGCAACCAGCAGGGCCACACCCACATGGTCTCACAGCTGAGTCACGGCCTCAGAGCACCTGGAGAATGCTGGGGCCCTTTGTGCTAAGCCCACCCTGAAGTTTCCCCTGGGAGGGACAAGGGTGGGGGACCGAAGGGAGTGGGTTTAATGTGTTCCAGACTCCGGGCCTGGGCTCTCCCTGCTTTGCTGGCCCGTAGCTGCGCTGCTTTTCTCACCTCTCTCCCCACCACCCAGTGCAGCAGTTCTTGGTTTAGTTAGGCAGAGCCTGGGTGAGCTGGAGAGGGCAGGAGTCAGGGCTGGGGGGAGCGCCATTCCTCCGGCCAAGGAAAAGCTGTGAACCAGGTACCAAAGGCCTGCCAGCCTGTCCCCCTACAAGGGCCCGAAGTAGTCTGGGATTGGAAGGTTAATCATCTCCTCTGCTCTTCCTCATCTCTTTGTGGTTCCACTTACTTTAGATAGCAAGAAGAGAGCTTTCAGTAGAGAAACCACAGCACAAAGTTCTCCCCCTCACAGCCCCAGCAATGCCTTATAAAGAAAACAAATAGACCCTTCTACCCGACCGACAGACAACAGGAAGCCCAGCCTGCAGCGGGTGTTCAGTCAAGCGCAGGGCGGAGCAGTAGCCCTAGGCAGGGAATCCTCCAGCAGCCCAGCCGCCCAGCTGCCCAGCTCTCCACAGCCCTCCTGGAGTCGGCGAGGCTCCGGGGCTGGGGAGGCCCCGAACATCTGGTCCCAGATCTGCTTGCGATCGAAACCCACTTGGAAACATAGCAGCCTGGGTATGGGTGAGAAGGAGGCCCAGGCAGAAAGCAAGGAAGGTATGAGTAAAGCATGACAAACGGAAAAGGAGATCAGCCGTCCAGAGGCACCAACGCCAAGTCCAGGAGTGAAGGGCAGCGCCCCCCACCCCCTAGCGCCATCCCCGCGGGTGTGCGCGGCGGGGTTGGCAGGGCACCGCCCGCTGGGCAGGGTGTGGCCCGCAGCGCCGCGCCGTGCAGTCCCCCCGGCCGCTCCGGCTCCCAGGTCTGGGGTCGCCTCTCGGAGCGTGCCGGGCGCAACTAAGGGCCAGTCCCCGGGGGGTTGAGGTGCGGGCTGGGAACTCTCGGAGCGGCGCTCGGGGCCGCGCGGAACGCACTTACCTTAGCGCGGAGGCGCAGCACACGAGGGGAGCGGGGGCGCGGCGGTGGTGAGGAGCGCACCCGGGCTGCGCGCCTTTGTACCCTGGGCGGCAGGCTGCGCGTGGCGGGAGGAGCCTGGCTAGCGGCGGGGCCGCCCAGTCCTGCCCCCTGCACACACCCTTCGCGTTGGCCAACCCACCTCCCTCCTACCCACCCCACTCCGGGTAGGCAGCGCCAGCCCCGCTGCGCTTCTCCCTCAGGAGCGAGGCTCCCCTCTGCTATCTCGGACGTCCCCACCCTGGGCCAGGCCTTTCCTCTTGGAAAGTGCGTGAGTGTGGAACTCCAAGAATCCAGCCATCCCGCGGGTGGAGCCGGCTGGCCCAGAGCCACAGGCCCGCGGCTGTTAGGGAACCCACAGGTCTAGAAATTATTTTCTAGATGACGGGGAGGAGGAGCACGTGGAGCCATCGAAAGAACCCGGGCTTGGTTGTTCTCTGATCCGGGCATCTCGAAGAGGAGCCAGATCCTACACGTTCTGCCCGCAGGGTGAGGGCAGAGGGAGCTGTTTGGGTGCTGAGCTCCAGGGACCTTACGTTGTGGAGCCGGAGAGATTTACCCCTCCTGTATGTGGCTTTACCTGGAAGGTCGTTCGGTTTCCTTTGTGCTTAACAATGTCAGTATTGAAAGTTTCCAAGTCTGTCATTTTGCTCCATAGTGGATATGCTTGGTCCTGAAAGCCCTCTGGAAGAAATTTCTGGAACAAATTTCGAGAAAAACCTAAGTGTTTCCTAGGGGACGATACCAAACACCCCCCTCCCCGCGCGCGCGCGCGCGCGTGCGCGCGCTGTTCCCTCCCTTTTCTCCCTCCCCCCCAAATTGTGGTTTAGGGTTAAGGGCAAATTACTAGCAGCTGTTGGTGGAAAACAGCCAGTCCAAAGACGGGGTTTTCTCCTTTTCCCAGGGGAGGGCCTGGGAGGGGTGGTGAGTGGCCTCAAAGGAATGAGCAGGGTCGGGGAATCCTCCCAGTGCCACCACGTGACTAATCTTGGCTGTTGCTAGGAAAACCCAATTTATTTCTAGCCTCACTTCCCCTAGGTCCCTGCAACCTTGGTGCTGACTACTCCAGAGGGCTGTTCTTCAAGATCTTCTCATATACTTCCAGCTTTGTCACTAGTCAGGAATTCCTGGGTATCTTTGCTCAAGGAAGAGGCAACTGGATTGAGAATGTGAATGTTATAGGGTAGCCCCTTTAGAAGTGGCTCACCAGTCAGAAGTATTCCAGGTTCTTCTTGCCTCAAACAAAGAATTGAGGGGCTGGGGAGATGGCTCAGTGGAATAAGCGCTTCTCTGGCAAGCGCAAGGGCCTGAGTTCAGTCCCTGGTTCCGC